TCACACAAGGACTTTCTGATATACGATGGTATAGCTGTCCAAACAACTGTAGAATGTTCAAAGCACCAAGGCTGACAAATAGTGTCTTGTCATATTCCTTGATGCCATACACAGATGACAACTTCACAAAGATAAGATTTTTCAAAAAGATTAAACTTCTTACTTTGACATCCCTAGTCGTATGTAATTATGTAAAGATGCCAAAAATTATTTAGAGACTTACTGATTGATCGTAGGAACTAATGTCTTCACTATCCAACAATATAAGATTGTTTTCATTTCCATCCGCAACTGTACGCTTAATAGACATACTCCACATCTAAAGTCCTTTCGTGCAAGGCTTCTGAGTAGTCACAACTTCAAATCCACTACTCTGTTCTAATAGCTAAAGTCGTGAAGGAAGTACTATTATGAGTTGGTATTCAACTAAAACAATCTCTCGACTTTAGATATATGATTATTGATACAACCTTAAATCTCTAGCCAACACTAACCTACTACATTACTTTCAAGGTACTTAAGCTATTGAACGAATAACAAAGTCATAAAAAACTAGGCTCTTTCTCACTCCCTCTAAAATTACACCCAATTCTTTTATTGATAAATAAGAATCGTTTATAGAATGTTTAAAAGTGTTGCACTCACAAGATGCAAGATGTGTTTTAGATACAATTCTACATCCTCAGAATAAGGCCTCAGAAATTAATACTTTTTGGAAGACCTAAAGAGCAGCAAGTATGACAATATATTGACCCAGAGACTGTCAATAGTTTAATAGGTGCCATAAAACTCTAAAGTATCAAGATGAAGCTATTGCCTTGAAAAGCACGTCCACATAGAGAGACAACACACCAACAGGTTTCTTAACAAGCTGCAATGCTACGACTACTTTGGAATCCATTCAAAACTTACTCCTTTCTACACAATATAGAAATCGAAGAGGTTTTTGCAGACCACCTTGCAATAGTACTACATATGTTCGAAGATATTGGATGAGTAGGGCTGTGTACAACTGCAGAGGACTAGGTCTCTATTCTCTCTACTATATGATTTGTTTCGAGTTTATCCTCTATGTCATGACCAAGTCCAAATATCTTCAACATCCTATCAATCTAACAACTCTATCTTACAAAGCACTTTAAATTATTGTCCAATTATTTAGCTATTATGACCTGAGTGCAATAGGTTATAGCTTTAATAATAAAGGTGTTGGAAGAATTCAAAAATATGAATCTCTTGAAATTTCTTTCCTTGCATCAATTGTTTAGTCACTATGTTGTGCAATGCATATTTCTCCATCAGCAACATGAACACCATATCAAGAAACCCAACATACACAAGGCATTGCAAAAAGACTGCAAAAAGTATAGTGCTAAAGAAAAATAGTCAATGCCGATAGGTTGGAATAATATTACTTGGTGAGAGAATTGTACTTAGAAAGTGCTAGTGCTTTTAGGTGAAAAGTTTTGAAGCACAAGATTACAACCTCCACAAAGAAAAGACTAACAATCTACAACTTCATAGACCAAAGCAATAAATTTAAGAGATTTGTAGTATATGATTTCTTCCTTGTTTAGGCACTTCACTCTTAACACAAGGCCTATTGTGCCAATTTCTTCTATTAGTAGGTATCTCTTGTTTATTTGTTAGAGTATAAAATCTACACAAAATTTACAAGTTACATGTCTAATTTGTAAGACAAGTTTTTAACATTTGTATTACATGGCTAATTTGTTGGCCAAGTTTTTAACCTACCAACCATCTACAACCATGTGTTAAGTCACATTTATATCTATAAAGCTTCTAAGAAGCTTTTCATAAGATATTATCACATTTATCTATTTTTATCATATCGTATAGTATATACAAGAGAGTAAGAGGGATAGATGGTATTGAATGAAGATGTATCTTTCAAGGTGTATGTATTAGAATTAAGTACTTAAAAAGGCTTTAAAATTGAAGGCATCACAAAGTAATACAAGAGAGACTTCAAATCCATAAATAAGAGAAGTAGTTATACAAATTAAATTATCAAAGTAAGATATGTTGATTTAATATCTCATATATATATATATATATATATATATATATATATTATTTTATTTTATTTTATAATTAAACTTTATTTCATAACCTATTTATTGACTAATTTGTAAGCCTCATCAAAAATAAAGCCATTTAACTTTCTTATCAAACACACGTGAAGAACCTCAAGAAACTCCAATTGTATATCATATCATCAATAAGAATAATAGATGTTTCAATAAGACTTAATGTAATTTTGTATTATTGAATGATGTTATTTTTTATTTATTTATTTATATTTTTTTTACCTTTTATCTTTTGATTTTAAAAATTTACACATTAAAATAAGCCTCAAAGTATAAATTTGTAGTGCTCTATATGTAAAAATATAATATCTCTTTTTGCCTATAAGACACTAAAAAAAATCAAGTGGTTATGCAAGAAGGTGAGCTTTAACATACATTTTTTTATATCTAGAGAACATAATATTAACACATTCTATAAGCAAAATATTGTCAATGTGATTCTTCAATATGAAAATCAAACAAATCTATTGCAAAAGCACAAAAATGCAATTCTATCAAAAATTAACATTAATTTCATCATCCAACACCAAATCCAATTCTTCTTACTTTGCTAAGCATTAGACTTGCTTCCAAATACATGTTATTGCTACAATTCATATGCTTTAACACATGGATTAGGATAACCAACATCTTTGGACATTCCAACTATACATGTTAATGTCTACCAACCAAAAGATCTTAAATCTATTGAGCAACATCAAATACTCCCTTGATCCCAATTAATTCATAATTGTAGCAATAAACTCCAACTTCCAATACTACATAGTCCTCAAAATCATATCCAATAAAACCATTGTATATACAACTTCTAAGCATTCTCTCATATATACTACTACCACCCCTTGTATGATGTATGAAATGCAATTGATTGCTTTAAGATTGAAGTATATGACACTAATGTGAGTTGAGCTTACTTGTTGACATCAAAAAAAATATGGTATATACAACTATACTCTAACAATGAAAAACCTCCAAATCCATAGCAATAGCACATGATTTTGAGGCCGTCTCAACTAATGCCCTACTCTAAATGTAATCAATGCTGAAGCCAGCTTGGCTTTATGCATTTGTCATGGCACTTATCTTACCTAAAACCTAAATCAAGTTTAAATTAAATAAAAAATATATCATCTATATAAATCATTGAATAATATACATACACCATATACCAATAGTCAATAGTTAAGATTTTTAGGCTAATAATAAACTGATATTATTCTTTTTTTCTCTTAAAGTAATTATAATCAAATTATATCTTATGTAAGAACTTAAAGACTATTTGTAAGTAGATTATAATTATTAAAAAACTAAATAATATTATAATTCTTCTAAATTTTTTATGAATATAACATTCATAAATTTTCATGTCTATAACTTGTTTAAAACTCTTGAATTCGATGGTACCATAAATTTAGTTAATACTTTGGATGTTATACTTTTTTTCTTACAAAATGATAGTCAATCTGAAAATAAATTTGTTTAATTTTAATAAAAAGAAACTTTCAAACCTCTTAGTTATAGTTTTTTTTTTTTTTCATACATATATATATATATATATATATATATATATATACATGTGTATATGAGATTCTAATCCTCTATCATGATAATAATGTTTTATTACACAAATTTTAATTTAAAAATATATAAGATATTTATTAATTAGTAATAATCATCAATAAATTGACTAAAAAATTATGACATGACTAAAATTGGTCATTTTGCATAGATCCATAACTAATTCATCTAAATAAGATCAAATTTTAGATAATGAATTTAGTTTAAATATTAATAAGGTTTTTATTTAAAAAAAACTTATAGTCTCCTTAGGTGGAAGCCTTGAAAGTATGAAGATTATTAAAGGTGGATAAATGTTTTTTTTAATACAAAAATAAAGAGTTTTTTTGTTCTTGTGTTTAGAACTTATACTTGAGAATTTTCTTATAAGGTTTCTTATTTTATTTTGCTGCACTTCATTAAAAAACAATGGTTCATCTAAGCCTTATTTTTACCTGTCGTGTTTGTTCCAGGGGATCCAAGGAACCAAAGAAAACGCAGATGCAACTAGCCTTGGATAACCGGAGAAAGAATGGTGCAAGCAATCTAAATTTGATGTTGCGAAAGGTCATCATTCATGTGTCTAGTGGAGAGACTAAGACTGCCAAATCAAGCTAGATTTTATGATGTTTTTATGATCTAAAATCAAATTATTAAGCTGCCACTTGATCATTCTTTTGAATTTGGAGGTATGCAATTACATTTTGCTTTGAAGAGGCGCCTCATTTCTTAAGAATCGTGCTTAAAAAACAATCAATATTTGACAATACAATGCTATTAATTCATGAGTAATGTTGATTTTGCATGGACTTAAGTAACTACCTAATCCACTTTCTGTAATTGAGTTCTTAATGTCATAGTTCACGTTGCAATATTAAGTTAAGAACACAGAATCGTGAAAAGACACAAAGGGATAATGCCTTACTTTGCTCCTACTTGAAAGATACTTAGTTTGAACAAGTAGTCTCAATTCTAAACAACATATTTTTTGTGGCCAACTGCACGGGTTCCACAAGTATGTATGTAAAAAAGTAACAAAATCTTCCTTCCTTCTTTCCTTGTTGTTGTTTTCCTTTTCAGTACTAACATCTTCAACGCCAAATTACAGAGTCGATACACAAGGTAACTTTCCAGGAAGTTGCTGATCCCTAAAGTCAAGGGATGATCAATCCAACGTGTCAGGAACGAAGTCGCCAAGTGGCGGTGATCGTGGAAGCCCAAAAAAATAATAACAATAAACAATAAATAAATAAATAATAAAAAATAAAACTAGACGTGAGGAGGGGAAACAGTGATCAAACTACAGGAATAGATAGACACGAAGTTAATGAATGGCAAGAGATGGGCATGCAACATCGAAGCCCTGGAATTGCAGAGGCATTCTCGATCCATTTGAAGCTCAGGATTGCTCCTCCTCCAGGTGAGCTTCTCACTGTCATCGACTACACTAAATCGCACTTTGACTATCCTTATCTCGTACAATCTCGTGCCTGTATCCACAGTTATCGTCAACTACATCGACAAAAAGCGGAATATACGTGAGGATTCAAAGCTGGTGGCTGAACTGCAGGCATGATCTGGTACCACCCTCTGCGAGATTCCATGCTACAAAACCCCAAGCTGGGTTTCGATATTTCTCACCTCATGTGTGCCCTTTCAGCTGCAGCTTTCTCTAGCATCCTCCTGCTCTTTCCCATTGCAGCAGCAGCAGTTTCTGTTCCAACTTGTGGCCGGTAACCATGAAGCGCGGCGTCGCCTCTGTGATGTGCTTGGTTCTCATCGTGGCATCCGCGATGGCCGTCGCCGCGGACATAGGTCCATTTAGGTGCGACATGAGCAAGCTGAAGCCTTGCTTGGAGGCCACCCAGAAGCCCGGAGTCCCACCCAGCAAGGAATGCTGCAAAGTCCTCACTGCGCTTTTTCAGGTTAAACCGCAGGTGATCGCAGCGAACTGCTTGTGCAGACTGGCCACAAGCGCGGAAGCCAGAAAGCTTGGGGTCATACTGTACCTCGCTCTTTCACTTCCCCAGAAATGCGGCATCCGTCTCGAAGCGCAATATCCCTGCCCGCCTAAAAACTAGTACAGACACTCCTCCCCTTCTGTGTGCTTCCGTCGAGACTCTTCCAATCCTACACTCCCCGTTTCGTTTCTAGACTATTCGTTGCTCGCTTACTAATTTTTGTGTTCGGTCGGTTGCCGTGCAGAACTCCCGTTACCGAATAACAAGACGGATGGGTTTCCGAGGGTCGGCCCGCAAGGATCCACCGCCACTCGAGCGAAGATCATCCGGCTGAGGATGAGCAGCTGTTCCGTAGCTGCATGTGTTGTGTGGGAGTGTTGGGGAGTTCGCTTGCAGCGGGTGCTGCAGCTGGACTGAATAATCGTAGAGCCCTGCTTTCTATGAAATCTAGCTTGCAGTCTGGCTGCTCAGAATAGCCGTGTTTTCACATCCACGTTGTTTCTGAAATTTCAAGGCCAAATTGCAGATAGAATTGCGTGGTCGCACTCTTGCTGTCGACTGGTTGTGTGATCGTGATCTTCACGACTGCTTGCATTGTTGTCTCATGCCTCGTTCAATTCCGCATTCTACCTCACTGCAGCTCTAATCCCATTTCCTAACGGTGACAGCAATGGTGCTAATCTCTGCGATTGAGGTCCACGACTGTTCATCAAATATCAGGGCGATGATGGATCCTGAAATATTACGCAAAAATAAACTATGTTTCTGTCGGTGATTTCAGGTGTCGGAGTTCACCGACTTCCAATTTCGGCAACATCAAGTTTGACTGAACAATGTTCGGCAACCACTGAGAAAAATGTAGTGTAGTGTGTTGTAGTGTTGTGTTGTTTGAATGACGTCGTTAGATACTACTAAAGTGGATGAAATGGATGTTTCTTATGTTGTATGTATTGAAACTATGTCATGCTTGGAAAACATTGTGTTATTTTTTGATTATCACCATATTTTAATAGGGTTCAAACATGGTACTTTTGTAAAACCAAATAATTGGGATTTAACACTTGATATTTTCATGATCACTCCAAATATCAAATATAAAATATCACCATTTGAACTTTAATACCATCTTCAAATTTCTGAACATATTTTTGTGATTTGGAAAAGTCAAAGAGTGGTGTGGTATGGAGTCAAAGTGGGAATGGAGTTAAGGCATGCAAGGTAGTTTTTGATATTTCACCCGCCCTTGTTTTGATATTTGGATTTCAAAATCACTCACCTCACAAGGTAGGTGTTTTGTTGAAGTATTGATATTTTGAAATAGCATTGAATAGTTTAAGATCTCATCATGGGTGAAATGTCACCTAAAAAGGCCATATCTAAATTCTCCTAATGGAAATGTTGAACTTTGAAGAAGAATTCTTATGATAGAGTTGTTAATCAGTTAAGCTTGTTGCATGCTCATGTAATGTTTTTGTGAAATTTATGCTAACAACAATAGTTGACATGTGTAGTAGTTAAGAGAAGTACTTAATTTTTAAAAAAAAACATAGAAAAAATAAATCAGTAATGCATTAAAAATAAAAATACACACTGAAAATCACATTAAATGTACATATATATATAAATATATATATATGATTTTTCTTTTTAAGAAATTAAGAAAATTAATGTTAGAAACACTGAAATTTTGGTTTTTGTAAAAAAACTTTATAATGTTGGAAGTATAAATTAAAGTACAAATCATAAAAAGTATTTTGTTAGACATATAAAAGAATAATTTATTTAAACAATATTTTTAAGAATATCCTATATTTATAGAAATATTAAAGTTTTATTTTATTAAAAATAAAATAAAATAAATTCTTAAATAGGATTGGTATGTAAATCAAATAGTTTTAAAAAATTGTTTTGTAATTTAATGCAACTTATATATTTATATGATTAGGAATAGTCACTAATAATGATATTTTCAAATGCTATGGTTTTTATTTATTTAAAATTTAAATTTTATTGATATATAATTGAAATAATTTCATTAAATAGATCTAAGCTAAGATATACATAATTTTAAATTTATAATAGATTACTATCAATTAATACAAGAATACTAAATAATAAAACTTTATAAACTCAAATCTTATATAATTTTAATAATACTTGCAAAACCATTTTTTTATTCTATCTACATTATTTTAAAATTTATAATATATTAATAGATAAGAGATAAGAATGATAAAATAGTAATAACTAAAAAATGTTGTGAACTTCATTTATTTGTTGCAAGAAGAATCAATATTTGAATTATAATACTTCTTGCTTAAATTCTCACTTAAATGATAATATCACTTTTTTTTTCTTAATAAAAAAAAATTATGCAAAATACAAGATTATATGTTTATAATCCAAGAACAAAGTTTTTTCTAACAAATATTATTAAATGTATATATATTTTAAAATATATGTATACATACATATATATATATATATATATATATATATATATAATTTTTGTATTTGTTATACCATCTCATCCAAAGTGAGTAATTATAATAAAATCATGAAAATTGAAATACAGCATACTTGATAGTATAGAACATCATTATGAATTTCAAATAAGAAATATTTTGAACACTCAATGACTATTTTAAACTAACTTTTTTTTTTTTTTTTTTTTTTTTTTTGTCTTTCAAAGTCAGTAAATTAAGTTGATTTGAAATTGAATAATTGAATAAAACATAAAGAACATTAAGTAATTAATATCAAGTGGTAGTATTGAAAATATTGTAATAATTTTGGATATTAGGTTTTAGTATAGATTGGGTTTATTTTTGGTACTATTGTGGGCCCTATAGAAATGATCCACAATAGTGGTAATTGTGAAAGTTTTATCCTTCTATATTGAATAATATCATTAAACTATTATCTCAAGCATGATGCTTTTAAATGTATGTAAAAACTAAATGAAGCTATTTATGGTAATTTGAAATCATTTTAATGATTTAACTTCATTATTAATATACATCAAATATAAAATAACGAAGAATATAATTTCAAATCCAAATTACAATGCTAATACAAAAAATAATGACAAAACCATATACCAGAAATAATCACCATGTTAAAACTGTTATTTTATTTTATTATGTAATATTTAATATAAGCAAAATCTGATGGGAAAACATTGAATTTGGCTTTTATGGATTTTTTTCTTTCAACATTAAGTTTTTATAATTCAGAATTATCTTTAGCAAATGATTTTAAGCATGTGGAAATTTTTGCACTCAATAATGTGAAGTTCTTTCTAATTCACATATGAAACACACTTGAACATACAGCACATCTGCATGTCCAATAACATTATACAACAATTAGCTATAAAGAGACACCCAATTATAGATAAACTTCACATCAACCTTCTGCTAATCACAAGTCAACTCATCTAATCAAGCATGAAAAAAAAACACACGGAGCAATAAACACCCACAATCAATCAAACCCACAAGCCATGCTATATACAATGCACATCAACAAATGATATAATTTCAAAAGCATAAAATAAAATATAATGAGATATTTTCCAACTTAGGAAACATGGTGAAGCATATCTCATATCCACCATCAAAACCCAATTACAACATCTATAACCGTAAATTACTATTGGGTTGGCAATTGAGTAGCAGGGTTTAAGTCATATAACAAAAGAAGAGAAAAATATAACAAAGTGCCGAACAAAAATGAACAGTGTGTATGTTGAAGGAAGTTTAGAAATTGATAAACAAAAGAGCTCATGCACGAAGCACCTGATTGTACACAAACATACTTGACAAGAAAGTAGCCAAGGAGAAGATCTTTGTACTATATCGACAATGTACAATACAAACGATAGAGCACATACAAACTTGAGCAAGTTTTGTGTCAATCACACACATTTTATCACACAAGGACTTTCTGATATACGATGGTATAGCTGTCCAAACAACTGTAGAATGTTCAAAGCACCAAGGCTGACAAATAGTGTCTTGTCATATTCCTTGATGCCATACACAGATGACAACTTCACAAAGATAAGATTTTTCAAAAAGATTAAACTTCTTACTTTGACATCCCTAGTCGTATGTAATTATGTAAAGATGCCAAAAATTATTTAGAGACTTACTGATTGATCGTAGGAACTAATGTCTTCACTATCCAACAATATAAGATTGTTTTCATTTCCATCCGCAACTGTACGCTTAATAGACATACTCCACATCTAAAGTCCTTTCGTGCAAGGCTTCTGAGTAGCCACAACTTCAAATCCACTACTCTGTTCTAATAGCTAAAGTCGTGAAGGAAGTACTATTATGAGTTGGTATTCAACTAAAACAATCTCTCGACTTTAGATATATGATTATTGACACAACCTTAAATCTCTAGCCAACACTAACCTGCTACATTACTTTCAAGGTACTTAAGCTATTGAACGAATAACAAAGTCATAAAAAACTAGGCTCTTTCTCACTCCCTCTAAAATTACACCCAATTCTTTTATTGATAAATAAGAATCGTTTATAGAATGTTTAAAAGTGTTGCACTCACAAGATGCAAGATGTGTTTTAGATACAATTCTACATCCTCAGAATAAGGCCTCAGAAATTAATACTTTTTGGAAGACCTAAAGAGCAGCAAGTATGACAATATATTGACCCAGAGACTGTCAATAGTTTAATAGGTGCCATAAAACTCTAAAGTATCAAGATGAAGCTATTGCCTTGAAAAGCACGTCCACATAGAGAGACAACATACCAACAGGTTCCTTAACAAGCTGCAATGCTACGACTACTTTGGGATCCATTCAAAACTTACTCCTTTCTACACAATATAGAAATCGAAGAGGTTTTTGCAGACCACCTTGCAATAGTACTACATATGTTCGAAGATATTGGATGAGTAGGGCTGTGTACAACTGCAGAGGACTAGGTCTCTATTCTCTCTACTATATGATTTGTTTCGAGTTTATCCTCTATGTTATGACCAAGCCCAAATATCTTCAACATCCTATCAATCTAACAACTCTATCTTACAAAGCACTTTAAATTATTGTCCAATTATTTAGCTATTATGACCTGAGTGCAATAGGTTATAGCTTTAATAATAAAGGTGTTGGAAGAATTCAAAAATATGAATCTCTTGAAATTTCTTGCCTTGCACCAATTGTTTAGTCACTATGTTGTGCAATGCATATTTCTCCATCAGCAACATGAACACCATATCAAGAAACCCAACATACACAAGGCATTGCAAAAAGACTGCAAAAAGTATAGTGCTAAAGAAAAATAGTCAATGCCGATAGGTTGGAATAATATTGCTTGGTGAGAGAATTGTACTTAGAAAGTGCTAGTGCTTTTAGGTGAAAAGTTTTGAAGCACAAGATTACAACCTCCACAAAGAAAAGACTAACAATCTACAACTTCATAGACCAAAGCAATAAATTTAAGAGATTTGTAGTATATGATTTCTTCCTTGTTTAGGCACTTCACTCTTAACACAAGGCCTATTGTGCCAATTTCTTCTATTAGTAGGTATCTCTTGTTTATTTGTTAGAGTATAAAATCTACACAAAATTTACAAGTTACATGTCTAATTTGTAAGACAAGTTTTTAACATTTGTATTACATGGCTAATTTGTTGGCCAAGTTTTTAACCTACCAACCATCTACAACCATGTGTTAAGTCACATTTATATCTATAAAGCTTCTAAGAAGCTTTTCATAAGATATTATCACATTTATCTATTTTTATCATATCGTATAGTATATACAAGAGAGTAAGAGGGATAGATGGTATTGAATGAAGATGTGTCTTTCAAGGTGTATGTATTAGAATTAAGTACTTAAAAAGGCTTTAAAATTGAAGGCATCACAAAGTAATACAAGAGAGACTTCAAATCCATAAATAAGAGAAGTAGTTATACAAATTAAATTATCAAAGTAAGATATGTTGATTTAATATCTCATATATATATATATATATATATATATATATATATATATATTATTTTATTTTATTTTTATAATTAAACTTTATTTCATAACCTATTTATTGACTAATTTGTAAGCCTCATCAAAAATAAAGCCATTTAACTTTCTTATCAAACACACGTGAAGAACCTCAAGAAACTCCAATTGTATATCATATCATCAATAAGAATAATAGATGTTTCAATAAGACTTAATGTAATTTTGTATTATTGAATGATGTTATTTTTTATTTATTTATTTATATTTTTTTTACCTTTTATCTTTTGATTTTAAAAATTTACACATTAAAATAAGCCTCAAAGTATAAATTTGTAGTGCTCTATATGTAAAAATATAATATCTCTTTTTGCCTATAAGACACTAAAAAAAATCAAGTGGTTATGCAAGAAGGTGAGCTTTAACATACATTTTTTTATATCTAGAGAACATAATATTAACACATTCTATAAGCAAAATATTGTCAATGTGATTCTTCAATATGAAAATCAAACAAATCTATTGCAAAAGCACAAAAATGCAATTCTATCAAAAATTAACATTAATTTCATCATCCAACACCAAATCCAATTCTTCTTACTTTGCTAAGCATTAGACTTGCTTCCAAATACATGTTATTGCTACAATTCATATGCTTTAACACATGGATTAGGATAACCAACATCTTTGGACATTCCAACTATACATGTTAATGTCTACCAACCAAAAGATCTTAAATCTATTGAGCAACATCAAATACTCCCTTGATCCCAATTAATTCATAATTGTAGCAATAAACTCAAACTTCCAATACTACATAGTCCTCAAAATCATATCCAATAAAACCATTGTATATACAACTTCTAAGCATTCTCTCATATATACTACTACCACCCCTTGTATGATGTATGAAATGCAATTGATTGCTTTAAGATTGAAGTATATGACACTAATGTGAGTTGAGCTTACTTGTTGACATCAAAAAAAATATGGTATATACAACTATACTCTAACAATGAAAAACCTCCAAATCCATGGCAATAGCACATGATTTTGAGGCCGTCTCAACTAATGCCCTACTCTAAATGTAATCAATGCTGAAGCCAGCTTGGCTTTATACATTTGTCATGGCACTTATCTTATCTAAAACCTAAATCAAGTTTAAATTAAATAAAAAATATATCATCTATATAAATCATTGAATAATATACATACACCATATACCAATAGTCAATAGTTAAGATTTTTAGGCTAATAATAAACTGATATTATTCTTTTTTTCTCTTAAAGTAATTATAATCAAATTATATCTTATGTAAGAACTTAAAGACTATTTGTTAATAGATTATAATTATACATGATGTCTTTAGTAATAATATTCACCAAAAAAATTACGATTATTTTTTTTGCTTTTATAATTTTTAAGCCAATTTTTTGGAGTATTTTTGCATTGCTACAATAGGGCTCCCTTGCAACATCCTTGGAAAAGCCCTTGAATCTTTCACGATGAAAAAAGATACACCACATAAATTACAACTCATTCTGTTACCAATTTCTAACAAAAAAAAATAAAAATAAAAATAAATAAAAAACTTTACAAATGATGTCTCAATTGCAAGTGCACCATTTATACATGGTTACTTGTTATAAAAATCTAGATAGCTTATGTAGATACAGTAAAGTGCCAATCTCTACATTAATAATAATATCATCTATTACAATACTTTATTTTCCATCAAATCAAAAAAAATACAAGTTATATTATTGTTAAAATTATATCTTTTGTAAATCATTGGATGATAAATCTTACTAATGTCTAATACTATAATATCAAAAATTTAATGCTATGCTAGAGATAAAGTATTGGTCCAATAATCCTCCATCTTTATTTATAAATGTAATTGGATTCTTTCACATTGGCCAAATCATTTGAAGGTAGGCCAATCTACCAACCATCTCCAAATTAAATTTTAATTAAAATTATTTTAAAGAAAATAGCTTAATAATGCATAAAAATTTGAATGGTATTTTTAAAGAAAAAAAATTAATATATTGAATTAATTGAATATAAATCCTTTATGATTAATATTATCTTTAATAGAATAAAATTTTCAACTACATATTCTTAAATATTTAATTTTTAAAAAATATTTTATTATATAATTTCTATACAATGTTAAGTAAATCTATTAGAAAATAAACGTTCTAATTAGTTCTATCAAAGAGCCCCATGGCATTAGGCTATCCTTCGGCTTAATGCGTCCGTGAAAAGGGGCGGCCATATGTGAGCGACGGTGATAGGTCAGGATAGGAACGCCGAAGATTCGGTAACATCCTCAGAAATCGGGGGCGCCGAGGTGTAGACTGTCGTTCCTCGCCGCCAGCCCTGGAGGGATCGTATCGCAAGGTTTTGTGTGAAATTTGGGGAGCGAATGCCGCGAATCTCCAAGGATTTTTAACGTTGTCGAGTCGCTACTTAGAAGATGGTGAAGCATAGTGCGTGTGGAAGCAGACGCGAATCGTGAGATATTCCAATGCCTCCCTCTTTCATTGCAGTTTCGAGCTCAGCGACAGGATTTGTTTTCTCAGTTTTTGGTTGGAATTTTCCAGTATTTGCAGAGAATTTCTCTATCATGTTTGTATGTGAGAAATTCTATTTAGCAACGAATGACGCGTGCATTTTTTTCAACTTGCGAGGAGAGCTTCCTTGCATTTTTTGATTTTCATTTTTTTTGAATTTGTAGATACTTCTGTTGGTTGCGTGATTTTGTTTTAATAGACGGAAAGTAACTTCTTCTTAAATTCTCTGACGACCAAAGAGTAACTAGCTCGCTGTTCCTGAGGTCATTCCTGGTCTAGGTGATCGCGATTTTGAGTATTTTGTGAATTACGAGTTTTGAGGTCGGAGGATTTTCGTTCTTCTGAATCTCTAGTGACTTGTGTTTTCAATGATTTCTAGTCCAGTATATTGCCGTTTCTTGCATTTTCATGTGAAATCTTCACCAATGCCCCGCTCAACCACAAGAAATGCAGAAATGTGAACATCCAGTTTGATTGTAAGGCGGAGCTTATTTTTGTGAATAGAACGACAAGTATTCTAGCTGATGGAAGTTCATGTTTTTGATAGGGCCTTGAAGATTCCCAAGCTCGATTTTCAATCTGGAGGGGGAACAAGTTGACAAATGGTTGACTGCAAACCCTAAATCTTGACCACATGCCAATTCTTTGGAAAGGCACCGTGGTCGAAGACGCTCGCCGTTGAGGTTTGGTGCTCCTTCTTGACTGTGCAATAGGCCTTGAAGGTGTATGATGATGGGACTGATTGATCAATTGAAGACCTTAAAATTCTGGTTTACGTGCGCTTGAATCATTCATAAGGTTTCCAATCAGCGCACAAGAACCTGAACTCTGAGAACACCGCAGCCATGGAGGTTATCAGAGAGAAGCAAGCAATGCGAGACTGGACTCGCGCTCAACGGAAGGCTGGAGAGCGCATCGCCTTCATACCAACGATGGGGTATCTTCACGAAGGTCATTTATCTCTAGTTCGGGAGGCCAAGCTGCATGCCACAAAGGTAGTAGTATCAGTGTACGTGAACCCCGCACAGTTTGCACCAGGTGAAGACCTGTCCACCTACCCTCGGGACTTTGAAGGCGACCTTAAGAGGCTTAAGGTACTACTATCTGCGAGTCTCTGCTCCTAATCTAATCTGTGTTTCGTTTTACAATTTAACTTCGCCTTCGTGGCTCGTAGTCTGCAGTTGCTCATTGCATAATTTGGAAGTCAGTGTTTAGTCGTTTAGTGAAAGACCTTGATGTATCGCAACTAATGGATCCTAAATTCATCTGCGGCTGGTGGAGAGCAGCCTCTTGACGTCAATGTCGTCTTCAACCCATTTGATCTCTACAATCGAGATTCTTCCACTGAAAACTTTTCTGGGCATGAGACGTGGATCCGTGTAGAGAGGCTGGAGAAGCCTCTCTGTGGGAACGACAGGCCTATATTTTTCAGGGGAGTTGCCACGATCGTTGCCAAGCTATTCAATATTATTGAACCTGACGTTGCAATTTTTGGGAAGAAAGACTACCAACAGTGGCGTGTCATCCGTCGGATGGTAAGCAGCAAGTAAGGATGTTAAGATTGTTCATGACAAATTATATATGATTAGACCTTCAAGCACTTCCAGCGTACCACCCTTCAAAGAACCTGCACGCCGCCGCTCTTAATCTCGTCGACGGAGTCAATGAGATTGAGAGTTGAGTCGTTTCCTGTGAAGTGCAGGTAAGGGACTTGGATTTCGCAGTCGAAATTATTGGATGCCCAATTTCGCGGGAGGAGGATGGGCTTGCAATGAGTTCTCGGAACGTCCGCCTGTCTGCAACTGACCGGCAAAATGTGAGTTCTCCTTGCAATCAAATGGTGAATTTTTGACCGAATGCGCTGTTCTCATAACTTGTTTCAAAAGAACCACTCACCCTCTTGTTGCTGCGTGATGGAATCATGGTTAGTCTCTTTCAATCAGCCGGTCGCTGCGAGAGGCAGAAGAAGCGGTGAAATCTGGCGAAACCGACGCGAGGGTCTTGGAAGAGCTAGTACTGAAGGCCATCACATCTGCAGGAGGGTCGGTAGACTATGCAAAGGTAGCAATTCAAATCCTAAACCCTCACACCTTGAACTCTTGCAGTAATAAGACTTCTTTGAACAGCTTTTAATCACATTTTCTGAACCTTTGAAGAATCTTCATTATTTCATAAGTTATTCATGAGACTGCCAACGTGAGGAGCTGTCCAGACATATTTGTCATCTGCAATGTGAATTCTTCCACGTCAAATCATTCAGTTGCCATGTCGTCCGAACTGGAAAAAAGGTGCTAATCCGCGGATTGGTTGCGTTGGCAATTCAATGAACAGATAGTCGACCAAGAAACGCTACAAGAGGTGAAGACTGTCGAGTTCCCAGTGGTGTTTGCTGTGGCCGCACGGTTTGGTTCGGTCCGCTTACTGGACAACATGGAACTTCAACCCCCATCTCTACCTCCGAGTAACCCAGTTTCTCCACAACCAACTCCAGGCCCTAAACTTGGGCATGAGATTGTCTTCTTTTGAGATAAATCCTGTGTATTGAACTTCCGCTCTATTGTCTACATGCCGCTGCGAACTTGAAAGAGCCCATGTCTGGGTGTTCAACAAGCAATCGTTGGCCAAACAATGGAGCTGTTGACCAGATTTCAGTTCCTTCCATTTGACAAACAAAAAATTGAATTTTCCTGTGGTTGTTTATTTAGAGAAATGTGGCACAGTAGAATTGAACGGTTCAGTTGCATACTGTTCAATTCGAGAATTGTATACAACAAATTGAAATAAAATTCCTTTTTCACAATTATTCCTGAAGCCAGCGTTTTGCATTCCCTATTTGGACCGTGAAGCTATTGTGTAGTATTCCTAAGGTTTGTCAATGGGAGAGATTCCTGTGATAATTGTGTCTGCTGTTTCGTTTTCCCCGTCACACTTACATTCTGAACTACGTAGCAACCTGGGGATCTGCATAGAATTTGCCAAATACTGAAGGTATGTATATCATAACCTCTCAGCACAAATTTAGATCGCATGATTGGGATTTGAAGGACATATTCTGAGCCAAAGCATGTGCCGCAAACTTAGACTAAAAGTCTGCAGAGGCGAACTCGATGAAGCGATAAGTAAGAAAAATTTATACCACAGGAGAGCCAGGCGGAAAAAGGAAAAACACCGAGACATACGATGCAAGTGAAAACACGTTTTTTTCAGCACATTAATTACAAAGAATAATGAATAATCTGTACAAAACGATCTTAACTGGAATTGCAGAGTTCATCCAGTTGATCTAGAGGAAGGTCTTGGAAGCCATGTCTACGAGATGGTGACAAAAATAGTAGCGAACGTCATTTCCTTAACTCTTGTAGCGAAGACCTCTCTCTAGAAAAAAAATTACTTCAGGATTGTTTAATGCTAGATGTCTGTCAGTAGAAATCCAATCACCATGCTTGCATTCAAAAGTGAATGAGTAAATAGGCGAAGCCATCTAAGCTAAGATGGAACTAGTCGCCTCTCCTCTTCTGTTTGTATTTTTCTGAAGTCACGGCCATTGCGCAGTTTGCAGCGGACGAGGTTACCGGGTTGGTGGCCATGACGGAGGCCAAGAAGGCCATGACGGAGGCGGTTCAGTTGGGGATGGATCTTCCATCCTTGCCCCGATTCCGAATTTTAAAGTGAAGGAATTGAATCTACACAACACAGCTCGGTGTCAAGACCTAGTAAATTGAATAGCAACGAATTCGACTTGCCTTGGAAGGCACTGCACTAAACATCACCACATCCAACCAAGCAACCAACAAAAGCCCCGAAACACAATCACACAACAACGATTAAGAGAAAAGTACAGAAGATGAGTGGAGAAAAAAATTCACAAGAAAGGTGGAGACAATATTATACAAGCACAATCGAGAGAAAACTATACAAGAAAGTTGAAGGAAATATTATGCAAGCACAGTTGAGAGAAAACTACATACTAAAGGTGGAGAGCAAACTACACAAGAACTTACTCGATGATCAGTAAGATCACAGACGCTGTTGCAAAGAAGAGCTTGAACACACACCAGTTGATGTGAAACTATCTGTATCTGCAAACCTTTATACACTATATGGAGTGTCTGCAGAGGTGAATGCAGACCGAGGACAGCTGGGCGATTACGAGAACAGCACACGCTAAAGATATTATCTTCCATGTCTGTTTCAATGCAGACATCGCCACAAAATCAGCATCATGTCTGCGCAGACAACCGCAGACGTGAGCTCGGAGGGGTGAAGGCGCTCTTGAAAGGCATGGCAGTCAGGATAAGAGGGGTCTTGGCGAAATGAAATGCCGGCTTCTAGGAAAGGCAAAGAGAGCTGTCTACTAGCCACGAAGTAAGTTTCACATGGAAGAATGCAAAATGCTTGCATACAAGCATGTGAATTCGTTGCCGTTGGAATGAAGCCCCCGCGGCGTCTTCTTCTTCACCAAGGCAGAGTCTTCACCGTGGCAGGAAGCCTCGCACCCGCTTCAACAGGAAGCTTCGACGATTGTTCGAATTAACTTCCCGGCTTACGTGGACGGGGCACCACATCCGTTCAGCCTACGTGGCAGACGTCACGCTGGAGTTCTCAGTAAGGGCTTGGGGGTCACGTTTACTTTTTCATTCATGTACTTCGTTGGTTTATGTGTATGCCTGTAATGAATGAAGCTGTTACAAAAATATTTAGGGGAATGTTAAATAAACCCAAGTTTTTACTAAATTGACCTACCCATGCTGAAGAATATAGTAATCATGATGAATGTGGGTGGTTTTCATTGGTTTTGGATTCAATAGTGGAAAAATGAATTTAGGAGTCTTTTTTTTTTTTTTTTTTTTTTTTTCATGATGGATATGTCAATTTAGTAAAAGCTTGGGTCTATTTAACATCTTTCTATATATATATATATATATATACAATTAAGTTTATTGAATCTTTTGTTTTCCACCTCAACGTTGAGGTGTTCAGTTATAAGTGATTTAGAAGGCTTGGCCTAAGAGAACATAAGTATAAAATAACATTTGAAGAATATTTAGTTTAGAATGATTTAATCACTACAAGTCACTACACATCATTGGTTATGAATAGTTCTTCATCTGGTGGAGAACAAAGGTAAATTAGTAAATTTTTTTTGTATGCACATGTTTTGACGTCAAGTCAATTAAATTATTTGCAAGTTCATTGTATTAAGTTTGTTTGGAAATTTTTGGAAAGTGATAAATCTGTAGTATTCACAATGACTTTGTCATTGGAGAAGAATAATGAAGAAGAAAACAAGAATAAATGGATGGATAGAGAACTCTATATTACATTAAGTTTTTTTGTTTTTTTAATTAAAATAAAATATCACTACAAATTTTATATAAGACCTTTATGAAGTAGAACATATCCTCAAACTAAAAGATTTAGTAGAATTAAATTATTTTAATATTAGTTTTTTGTTGTGTATTACATGGCTTAAAATTGTTCAAATTTTTAAATTTAGATTGGAGATGTTTTATGTAAAAGAGAGAAAATAAAGAGGTAATTGAAGTCTTAAACTAAGCTTTTTATAATTCAAGATATTTTTATTGCTTTTCCAAATAAAGTATTAATTAATGTATATAGAATGTATTCAAAGTAATATTATAAATAGGATAATGCTAATGCCACAACAAATTTTGCTATTACAACCACAACCTGCCCCCTATCTGACATATTTCTTTAGATTTTTTTTACCAATATATATATATATATATATATATATATATAAAATAAAAAATAAAAAATATTCAATTAAATAGTTTAATAAATATTAAAAAAATAAATTCGATTTATTTGAAAGGTATTGAAGAAAGGTGACATATGCTGGATAGAAGATTGAGGTGACAACAACAAAATTTGTGGTAGTATTAGCAATATTCTTTCAACCATATCTACACTAATTGTAAAGAAATAATCATAAGAAGTCTACATCATCTTAAGTTCAATTCAAAAATTAAAAATAAATGAATAACTCTTGCAAAACATAAAGCATAAATAAAAGAATTAAGTCAAATTCTTCAAAATTAATTGCTTTGAAACACCAAATCAAAGGAATGCACAACAATTCTTATACTTAATAAACAAATAAAAACAAATGAATTTGAAAAACAATTTCAAAGATGCAAAAACAATCCTAAATGCATTGGAAGAACTTTAAAAACACAACATCAACTTCACTATAGTTGGAACAAAAATAAACAATGTTAAAAGTTGCAAAACAAACTCAATCAACTCAAGAAGATGTTAAAAAAATTAATAAAAGTAATAACATATTTTATTCATGGTTACTTATCAATTAGTCATTTTGTTTAAATACTGTATTTACATATTTGTATATTTTCTCTTCTTCAGTAAATGCTTCAAGTCACAATTTTAAAAGCACATCCCAAAATTCAAAATGAACAATATTATCATTATGCAAAATATAATACCCATGACTCGCCTTTCGTGAAAATCCCAACAAAAGAATTCTCTTCGCAAATGTCTTAAAGAACTTAGTGTAATGCAACTCTGAAACTTGAGCTCAATCCCAGCTATCTAGAAATTCGCACATGCGACAAGTCCTGTGACTAAGCCGGAAGAAAATACTCCCTCGTCTGACCAGCAAGTCCATCTGATCAGAAAGTGTATTTTCTTCGCGACATGTAACTTTTGGAGGGACTCACTCCATTGGACAGTTTTTACAACTCTCCATTCGATTCTGAATTAGTTTTCGATATGTCGAAACATGAGCATAAACATTTCAACCATACGGATGCCATCTTTGAGAGATTGGTAACAGCTACTACTTCTCAAGTGATAAGTATTTAAGCACGACTTGGTTACTTCAAAACACCCTTGGTCAATGGAAAGTAAATGCCGGATAAGTATGTATGCTACACGTGATGAAAGAATAGATGGCCTTTCTAAGCTTAGTGAGAAATTAATTGCTACAGAGTTTGGGGTGCACTCGTGCAAAGTTAAAACAACCCCACGGAGTACTACACTCAACTACGATATGGTAGGACCCTAAACCCTAAACCCTAAACTGGGTAAATAGCAGTTAGTGTGCTCCATCAGAAAGCGGTGAAAAATCTTCTTCTTTAGCTTTCTGCTCGAGCATGGCTGCCAATCTCTTTGACGCCTCATCCCTACAGAAGGAAACAACACATCAACCACAATAGCACGGACTTTCCGTTTTCAAAGAGTAGAACACCCTACTTTTAATAGATTCCTCTCCGTTTTAACATTTAAAAAGAAAATTACAATTAGGAGAATTAAATTCTGAGTCTTGTAGCGCTATAATGGCAAACTCCTCAACATAACTTTTGGACAGAAAATGCTGAATAATTTGACGATTGAAAGTGAAGACGAGAGCTTACTTGACACATTGTGAAATTGTTTCGCGATGCAGCAAACCGACTACTTTATGGCCACGGTCCTGCCATTGTCTGCCAACGCGGGTGACAACTGGAAGTTGACGGAGACCACGCGGTTGCATCAATTCCTCTGCAGCCCGCAGGGTTGTATCTGGATAACAGACTACAATATTGTGGCCGTCGGCCACATTCTCGATGCTGCTGGTACAGATGGCAGCAACCAACATTGTGTCTACCTGCACAAAGAATTGACCATCGTACACATATTGAACTGCTATCACTGATGATGTCTAATTCCAGAGGTTGATCTCAAACTCAACAAGAGAAATACCTTAATGTTCAAATGCAGACCCTAGAGAAATAAGCGACATTACAAGAGATTCACAGCAGAGAAATCTCGGCAATATACCTCTACAATGATGGGGACATCAGAGAACACAGATTCCTCTGTGGCTCTCAGCACTTCTCGTTGTAAGTCCGAGGAAGACATGATTCCCTCAAGAAGATCATTCTCATCAACAACCAGAGCACAGCGCTGTCCACCTGCCAGCATTGCACCCAAGCTTTCTTTCACTGTAGACATTGCGTTCACCCTCACAAAGTCCTTACTCATAGCTTGAGATGCCTGCAGAGCCACGAAAACCGGAATGTCAGAGATGTGAACTGGCACCAACGATGGATGCTTGTTCCTTTCCCTGCCAGAAATCACCAGTTTCAGGTTAAACTACTTCAACCTTTCTAAATTCAGAATATAAATTTTGCAAAGAATTAAAAAAATTAGTTCTAACAATACAATTACAATAGGCGCTTTCAATGGCAGAGTAGCTGAAACCTCCGTCAACAAGGACCAAAACAAGTACAGAGACCCTCTTCTCCACTAAGGATTACGTGGAATGGTTATATGTCAATAAATAAGTTGAACACCTCGCTTGATCATGTCATTAAAAAGAAAAAAGAAAAAAAAGGCACGATTGTGGAGATTGGGCAAATGCTATCCAAACAACGTTGTAAGTGCATGCAACGGTGGAAAAGGCAATCTCATGGATTGAAGATATGAGATGTATACTTGTAACTCATTCATGAGAGCATCCTCCGACACATATATTCCATTAGGGTCATCATCACCACCCAGCGTAACAAGCTCGATCTCAGCTCCTTGCCCTTCAGGTTTGCGCCATACTCGCCCAGTAGGCAAGGTACCCGATCCATCACTTAGCAGACCTTGCTGGGTTGCAGGCTCTCTGTGAGAAGACCTTTTCTGGTTTCCTACGGCTGCCACCCAGATTGCAAGTCCTACTGCTCCCTGCACGAATCCTCAGGACACCAGTAGTTAACAATATACAGCTGGAAATAAATCTGGACAATGGCGATCCCGGCAAGCACACTGGTGCTTATATACTGTGACATAGCCATTGAACTGAGTTAAGCATACACTTAAATTGGAAGCTGGCTTGCCTAGTGTCGGCTCTTCATGTCAGCCCCATCAAATATTCACGAATAACCACTTTTGCAGGATTCATAACATTGCATAGGGTGTTTGTAGGTTGGGAGGATAGAAGCATTCCATGATGAAACTCTAATGAGGTAAAGAGCTTTTAGACAAAAAGGAAACATAAGAGAGGATAATAAAGTGATCTCACCATGAGTGGGAGCAAAATGTGATAGTCCTTTGTGAGCTCAAAAAGCAGGAGGACAGATGTTAGGGGAACTGAACACACAGATGCTAGCAAAGCCGCCATCCCCACCTGTTGCACATCCCCAAAATAATGTTGATGACCTTTCTCCGATGAAAAACAAATCGAGTACCATTAAAAAGGTTGAACGATGCAAGGAACCCAGATAGTGGATCGATTAAGTGTTAAGAAAACGACTAAACTGAACGGCACGTACCAGAGCATAGGCCTGGGGATGAGCCACAGCATTATGTCCTGGCATTACGGTATTGATGGCTTGCCCAATTATGCTGCCATACAAAGCGCCAGCCGCTGACCCAATGAACAAACTGGGAGCATACAGCCCTCCCACAAGTCCTGAACCTTTACACATTGCAGTGGCTACGATTTTCGCAACAGTGAGCTGGGCCAAAAGACCCTGTCCGGGAGCAGTTGCAGTAAAACCAGTCTTAAGAATTTCATCCACGTTCGTGAATCCCCAGTAAAGAACACCTGGGTATCTCAAGGCAATGACTCCAGTAAACAGAGCTCCAATGGCTGGAGTGACTGAAATAGGAACACCAAGCTGGTCATTCAGGAAGCCAAACGTTCGAGTGAACCAGGCGACAAGACGAGTAAATATTACACTCATGACGCCGCAGATGCCCCCAAGAAGTATGTATAGTGGCAGTTCTGTGCATGTAAAACAAGACATTCTCTTATAAATCAAGCCATTATAGCTAAAAAGTACTGGATGCGCAGAACGGATCTCTTTTCTAAAGGAATAAAATAGTGAGAAGATATCACGGTGAAGAATTCTACCAGCAGCAGATCGTAACTCGTAGGGAGGGACAGTAAATGCAGGCCTCTCGCCAAGAAGAATCTGGGACACAGTAGATGAGATCACTGCCGCCAGTATGATCATTGCTGTCGTAAGAGGAGGAGAGTTTTCAGCATGCTGAGGTCTCAGCACAGTTTCAATAGCGAAGAAAGTCCCGGCAACAGGAGCATTGAATCCTACAGCACATGATTAATCCTGTGAGATCAATATACCAGGACCCCAATGTACAAAAGGATCGCACGTTAACTTAAAATCTAATAACTCACAGAATTGGCATTGAGCACATTGATTTTTTTTTAAAATTAAATGATGTAATTGATAATAGTTTGATTGGCAAGGCTGATTCAGTACAGATACACGCGACTCTTTTGCCAAATGAGTGTACTGACCTGAAGCTATGCCAGCAGCAGCACCGGCTGCCACAAGTGCAATTCGCCTCTCTTTGCTATGCTTCATGATACTTGAAAAACCATGAGCCCATGATTTGCCAATGTCAACACTTGGACCTTCAGGACCCAGAGACAACCCAGTGCCAAGAGTCAAAGCAGCTTGCAAAGCCTTGATGAAAGGTTTGATTCCTGCGAGCCAATCTATTTTGTTGCGATTGGACAGCGATGGTTGTGGTTGCGCAGCACGAATCATATCCACAACTTCGGTGACTGTATGGAACATTCCGACTACAACTCCACCGACCACAGGAATCAATAAGATTCTGTGCCAAATGTCTACAAGTTTCTGTGCTCGTAACCAGGCTGCTCCCTCGTGTGGAGTCCCTGCCCAGGCTAAGTCGTGTATAAGATGTACCTGCAGCAGATAATAAACTACTATCGTGACAACCCAGTCTAATTCTACATAGTAACGCCACCGACAAAAAACTAACCAACATCCAACACTAATTATGAGTCAACATAAGAGCCTCTACCAGCAAACAGACCTTCCACTACCATTTCACACTATCGTTGTTCTGTGGTTACCTAACTGAACCCACGGCTTCCCTCTTGGAGTTCTTCTTAAACACGCTTCACTTCAATCAACATGTAAGGCGTGAAGACTGTTATCACATGTATTCAAAAAACGATTTACACCTACTCAATGTTTTCAACTACCAAAACCACTCTAGTAACAAGTAGAGGCAGACATACCCCTTTGTTGAAAAGAACCACACTGATACCACTGGAGAGGCCTAGCAGACAACCCAGAAGAAGAAGCACCCACTCAGGAGGCACTCGTTCTGAGACTTGCATGGCTAAGGAGTTGCGCCTCTGCAACGACGGGCGAGTGAGCTGCGAGACACGCTTTTCCCTACCACCGTCTGAAGCCCGTCTCCTCTCCCGGGCGGTGGCTTCAGACTCCGAATCAGCAGAGGTAGTCTTCGGCTTCAAAAGATCTGAGAGCCTTTCAGCCATACTATTCCGTTTCTTATCGGATCTCCGCACCCAGTCCTTGATCTCGCTCCGCACACGATTTGGGGGCTCCTCGATTTCAAATTTATGAATGCCGTTCGTTGTAGCGCCATCACGCTGCAACAACGCGCGCGATTCCACATCTGAGTCCGTGTCGGAAGGTGTGGGAGGGTGCTCATCGATTGCTTCAATCTCAGCCACCCTCTTTCCTGCTCTTATTTCCTCCCTGATTTCACCTCGGGTAGCAGATCCCGCTGCAGAAACCCATAGACTGCTGCGTCGGACCCTGTCGTCAGGCACGAGAAGAGGTTCTGGAGTCCAGAGCTTACCCAGATCACTCCTGCTCACAGTCTCTGAGTCTTCGGAGGCTGCCGAACCAATGGGGATGCGGACATCAGAGGACCTGCTCTCGAGTTGAGATTTTCCTTTTATGCCCTTCTCTGATTCTGAGCCTGGCTCCTCCGGCAACCAGAGCAGCGATGGCCTGTCACTGTCTCCCATACTTCCGTGCTTCTCATACAGCTCTATCTCAATAATACCTTTTAAAACCTATTGCAAGTAGTCACTAGCGGACTGCTGCAACCTCTCAATCATGAAACAACAAATTGATCGCAATCAAACCTCAAACTGATCTCCGTCGAACAGTCTTTTCCTAACGAGGGTTTTGCCCCATTTTTCACAAATGTCTCCGCTCTGTGCAGCTGAGGACCACATCCAAATCCACTCCATGACTTCTTCTCCACCCCTAGGAAGCGCCAACGCTGATTTTGTGCAGCAATTTGCAACAAACGGTGAACTCAACCCCTCAGAAAGAAATCCGCTTCAACAACTCCAGATACCCTAACCTCTGTCAAATCCTGACTCACTAAAACTACACTTCCGAGTACAACTCCCTCTGCCTCGGGAACTAAATGATACTAATAATGTGCCCATTATTATTAAAGAAAAAATATTTGTCTCAAAGAGAAACCATCAGGGACTTGCTCACACTTCCCAAGTTTTATAACCCCGAGGTTGCAGAAAAACCCTCGTCGCATAGTTTTGGATAATACCCAGATTCACTCGTGCATTGCACAGGTCATCCTCGCCCTAATTCCAGTATCCTCGGTGCAATCTAACGAATCGATCAGCTCCTGAAAGCCGTTCCAAATAAACGCTCCCAAACTCTAAAGCTCCGGGATGCTCTCAATATTGCCCTAGCCCCAGACTCTTCAGCATTGCCCCAACGTAATCCTCACACTGACTTTGCACAGATACCCAACACGACCTTGCGATAAAATCTCCTTCGATCGTGTCCAACATATACAGGCTAGATCTGTAGGTGGCAAAAGAAGAATTATCCGCACAAAGGCTTCATATGCAGCGCCTTAGCTCAATATCTACAAATGAAACGTCCAAAGGAAATCAACCTCGAACTGAACGAAATGTAAGGTAAACATCACCGAACCCAAACCCTAATCCCTGTTGCTTTCAAATCAATCTCGAACTCCACCAATTCCGCCCAATGATGCTCCCCTAAAATAAAAAAATACCCAACATCAAGACCTGCCTAACAACTTCACCATTGACCCTCAAACGTCCCCGTGTTTCCCAGTTCCTGCAACGACACGCGACAAAGACCAAAAGCGCCCAAGCCCTCAATTCAACCCCGGAAAAGGTGCCCTCCAACTACACCCCAAAAGCGGATGTCTCCTCGAGCTTGCAGTAGGGGGGGGGGGGGGGGATGACGATGGGGTGGATGCGCAGTGCTCACTCCCAGATCCAAATGGCCTTCCCACCGCGTGTGCTTTGAAAACCGGACGACGAGTATGATCTCTCAGATTCGGAGAATGCTAACTCAACAGGGAAATTTTGGGGGAGATGCGTTCCATAACCAGCCGTTCATCCAGGTTTAGGGTTTGTCTTCTTTTATTCATGAAAGAATGTAATATGAAAGACAAGGTCAAACCTGGATGATTCCGAATCTTGATGATTGCGTGTTTCATCACCGACCCAAAATCTCTGCCCTTCCTCGAATATAGCTTGTCAGTTATACCAAATTAGTAATTCTGGGGTTTCACCAAACAGATCGGTCGCTCGATGCCGGTTCTTACCGTTCTTCAGAGCAAGCCCCCTGCTGCTGCAACCGGCTCTCACCGACTCCCGTGGTCGCTCACACCGACTCTCAGCTCAGCTTTCCCCATTGTGGGTTCTCCCGCTTACCATGAATCTCCGCAAGTCCTGAAGTGATAATGAATTTCTGACGCTAACTGTGCTTATTTGCACGGCTGATTACATGAAATACGCGCTTTACCTGTGAAGAGGGTTCCTAAGTGCAATGGTAATTCTAATCCAAAGAAGTCTTCTGCTTACAAAAACATCACTGCAAGCATAGTCCCCCTCCGAAGTAATTGCTTCCGAGATACTTTTTTCTGGAGTTTGAATGAACATTTCCTAAGTCTCATGCACGCAACCTAGATACGTGACATTGCTTGTCCATCTCACAATATCGTGCATGCTCAGCCATCAAAGGAACAAATCTGAAAAAAAAAACCGTAAGGGAAGTGGAACTTATAAAAAGGTATCGCACTCCATCACTGCTATTAAGATACATGAAGCACCTTCTTGGACTTTTATTACAGTAATCACCTTACGCCTAAACTAATAAAACTTCTCCTAAATCACTCGTCGCCCATGGAGTTTTTCTTAGTGTTTGAGACTGGTTGATAAGTTTGTGGCATCAACGTGACCATGATCGGTTTGAATCATGTTTTCTTATTTCAAGCTCACTTGCTGAAATCTGAGTTTGCAAACTTGGTAATGACCTCCTCCGCAAGGTTTCATGCCGGATCGCTCTTATTATTGACAGCTGAACCCGGTGCCAGGAACTCGACCTTCCAGTCTATAATTCGACTATTTCTACAATGTTTTGATCAATGCTACAATCTAATCTTTCTGGGTAATCCTTAGTCACAACTTTTGCAATGTTCTACTCGATTGATCCGACCTTGTCTTGCTGGTGCTCATCAGGACCTCCTTCCAGCACCATATTCATACACTTTCAGATCCCAGACTGAAACAAACGAACAAACAAACAAAAACAATTCAAATAAGACAGCACTTGGTTGAGCATTTGATTGTGCATTTATTTTATTTATTTTATTTTATTTTTTGTGTTTAGGAGTATTTTTGTGCTAGTTTTTAGAGTACACTTCGAAAAGTCATGAAAACTTTTTAAAAACATTTGTGAAGATTTTTAGTTTGGTGAAAAAGAATTGTTTTGTGAATTCTTTGAATTATGGAAATAGTACGAAGAGAGAGAAAGCCATGATATGGACTAAATTATTCTTTTTATTATGATTCTAAATATGTCAACTCAAATCTTGATTGTGACGTTTATGAAAAATATTTTAATATATTTGTAATGAATAATTTTAACAACTTTTAGCAACTTTTGTAAAAACCATTTTTTGAGAGTGGGCTTAACACGATTTCATCTTTCTCTTTTGTAGCCTTTTAATTGATCTTTCTAAATTTAAAACCAACTAAGAGAAGCTTTTTAATTTAAACTAATTATAAGCTTAAAATTTTGTAACTTCTTGTCATCTATCCTAAACCTAAACACCCCTCTAATAAACTCAAAATCATGAGATAGAGATATATTGGATAATCTATTAAGTTCATTTTGTAATATTTTATTTAAACAAGTTTATTAGTTTTTTATATGTGAAAGAAATGAGATGATTTTTTTGATCTTTAAAATTAGAACTTATACTTGAAATATACATATGAGTAATAAATTTTGTGATATATTAAATCAAAATTAGAGTATACTTTTGTTATTATTTTGATAATATGTAATCAAAGGGATCAAAGACCAACTTATAGTATGGTCATTACAAAGAGCATGAACATATTTATCTACAAGCACATTTAAACGTTGTTCTTATGGATGAAATAGTCATGAAATATAAAATAAACAAATGCCAGCTAACCTATGCATGAGAAAACAGTTTTCCTATTTTAAGTTGCTTATAGATCTTGGTACATGCACGCTACATTTGGTATAATAAAGTTTCTCAAAATAATACACATAAATTCATTATTTAAAAAGAACACATTAATATCAAAAAATAAATAAATGATTCATCGACATACTTGAATTGTAAAGATTGTTTAGCTGAAATCAACAAAGCATTAACCTTGAAAAATAAAGTAGACGGGTTACATTAATTTAATCGAGATTAGATATTTATTCATCAAAAAACCTAAAGTTACTGATTATAGAACGACTCAACACATCAAACAAAAAATATGAAATATGAATGATTAAGTATCAAATACAGTACGACTGTTAAATAATCAAAGAAATTTAATATCCGAAATTCCGTTGAACAAGACATCTGTATCGAAAGTCAAATCAAACACACTTTGACAAAGAGACATAAACACCTTGATTAAGTTTACTAGGTCCTTAAAAGAATAAAATTATTACTATCATTCCCTTTAAAATATTTTTATCTTGACAGCATTTCAATGATTTACAGAAGTCTCTAAAATTCACAACGATGTAACATAGTCTGTGTAATGGTAACTTGCTTTAACAAATTGGCACACACACATGAATCGATTTATCTTCATATAAGAAAATCTTGGACAATGAATGATGTAAGCACCGTGAGAGGCTATTAGAGTAACGAATTAAAACTCAAAATTTAGAACTGCACTTTGGAATATTTGATGTTAGCATTCTGAAATCTCAGAAACAAAAGATGAAGAGACACAGATGTAGACATGAAAGCTTTGTTCATTGAGAAGAGAAAATTCAAAACCACTACAAGCTGATAGTACACGAATCACAACGGCCTTGTTCTGTTTGCTGACTCTAGGTTCAGGAAAGACAGTTGGCTTGGAAATGAAAGAGGAGGGAGAGTGAAAGGAGGAAGTGCTGGCATGTTAAGATGCCAGTGATGATGGTTGATGATGTTGAATTGACGGGAGGAGCTGGGTTGCAAAACTGAGGTGACAGTTGCTGCTATGGCAGGCCGAGTGTGGTTCATGTATTCCAACACGAAAGAGAAAGCTCCAAAGCTAAGACAACTCTGCGCCAACGCTTGCGGTGACCCTGAGACAAACAAGAGAGAAAAACACATGGAGCTTAAAAAAGGAAACTGGATTGTTCGTTTTGCAAATTTGCATTCTGTTGCGTCCCATAAATTTGCAGCTCTCTTTGTATTAAACATAAGAATTCAGATTGTTCTAGAATTGAAATGGATACACCCACGTGTAAAATAACCGACCAACATTGTGGAGTAGCACATACCAGGAGCGCTAAGTGCTAAACCAGTAGCGCAACCAGCAATTCCTGCATTCCAAGCTGCACCAAGACCCCCCCAATGGTTGAGCCTCCGAGCTCAGGATTTAATAACCACAGGCATGGCTTTTGGATTAAGATACATTGCGAAAAACGTTAACATGAGATGCTCACCATCTTCTTTGCCTCGAACTTTTTTCAAGTAACACGAAACGATGCTGTGCACGCCCGATAATATTGCGAAGGTCTGCAAAACGAACTCAAACCAATAATAGCTCAGAAATATTAATCCAGATGATCCGAAGCAATAACTCGATTTTCGATTCTTCGGTATTCGTGTCAATGTATGCTACGAAGTGTGAAGGCATTTACTGAGAGCGGGACTTGCGTCAACCAGACAGAGACCTCCACTTACTCCCGAATGATACAACAATGCAAGCTAGCCACGGCGATAAAACCAGGTAACGAAGGTAGAATTTCAGAAACTACACAACTATACGGTAATGACGAGGAGCAAAACCTTGGCAGACGAACCACCCTCCCTCAAAGCTCCTTTGAATCCTTGCTTTTTGAACAGACCCGATCCTGTACCAATGGAACACATGGTGCACATGTGGTGCCTCGTCAGAATAGAATTAGTCATTCGATTGAGTTCTTGTGAAAATTACAAAACATGCTCCCTGAATGGAAGGAAAGTAACCCTCTTACAAAATTGACTTCGAGCTAACAGGGTCCTCGGAATTGTTTCACTACCAATTACTATCATCTGAAAAACTTACACAATTAATGAGCATGAATAAAAGAAGACGGATGAATGTCATGAGGAGACTTAAATAATAACCTACCCTATTTCAACACCCATACGCAGACCTACACTCTACGAAGACCAACTCTTTCCATGGGCAAGATACACACAACATTCATTACACGCACCACAACCGCTACATTGAGGCACTATTCGTTACATTACACTTCCTTGAGAAGCACAACATAAAATAGAATCGCTAAAACCTCCTCGTCATCAGATAAACCCCACGATGCACAACAACAACTCAATACACTCAACCCTAAAACCCTAACCAACCCACAAACACAGGTCCAAATCGAAGAAAGCCAGTCGAATTATCACCAACAGCTACAAATCCAACAAGAAAGCCCGACAAGACCAAATCACGCAAACCACCACCGAGTTGATGAATTACCGAATCCAAATACAGACCCCATGAGCCCACCCGCCAGCCCATCCGCAGCGCCCTTGAAGAAGCAGAAGGTGGGGTGATTAGGCCCACCCACGCTCCAGCTCCCAGGCTCTTGAGACGCAGAAGAAGAGGAATCAATCAAGCCATCGTCAGAATTAGTCCAGCTGCCTCCTTCTCCCCCTGAAACATCATCACCACCTCCGCTGGGCACCATCGCCATGGCTGTCAAACCCTAAGTATCCCCACAACCCAAAAACACTACAAAGACGCTCACTGCGGCAGCTCTTACCCTCGAAACAAACACACACAATATCCTGAAAATCTACCCAAGCCTAACGATGTCGTGGGTGTGCTTCAAAAGCTTGATAACCCATGATGTGGAGATGATGATGGACCAGACGGGGTGGGGCCTTTTACATTCATTTCTTCTTCATTTGACTTGATAGATATCTATCAATAGATTCTCTTCTGTACATCGTTACATTCCTTTCGCCGAAGCTGTGACGATGCTGCTGCTGCTGCTGTTACTGTTACCTCGGCGGGAATTCCTGGAGACTGGAGCAGATGGAAGAGATGTTGCAAAACTGGATCCTTCACAAGCAAAACTGTTTTTTATTTACATGGAAACCAAACTAAACTTAACCTTGTTTGGCGAAATGTGGGATTAGGGTTTAGGGTAGAGCTTCGGAGGCGTGGATTTAAGCCATTTTGCTATCCAAGTTTTTCTTACTTCTGCTTGGCTCGGTCTTGGGAATCAATTGACATTCAGATTCTGAAAAGACAAATGGATTTATACATACACACAATCCGTAAGTTTCCTTGTGTGTTACGTGGAGTTTTTATCAGGATATATATAGAAATGGTTTTAAACTTTAATAACATGATAATCTATAATAATATAGTTATATTATTATATTATACAAACCCTCTACTATATATATAATTATTAGGTCATGATTTTATTGAATCATACATAAACTAAGTTATTCCATGTTAATCCATGTTAAGGTGTATTAAAACAAATAACTTGGTCTGACATGATTTAAAACTTATAATAAAATGGTATCTTTTTGCTATAATTATTGAGTATATGTATATATATAATGAACTTAAAAGAAATATCCATAATATTGACTACTCTTATGTTTGAAATTATGTGCATTTGTTTATTATTAATTATATCATATAAAAAAATATAATGTCCGCAATAATATGTTTATTATTGTTGTTTTATTACAAATGTAAGATTTGAGAATTATCTTTTTAGAACCTTTGATTTATCAACTTTTCATTAACCAACCATTTAACACATATGTTTCATATTATAAATAATATTAATTTAAGAGCTATATATTGTAACAATAATTCTTTAAAAAGAAATTAACAAACTATGTTAGCTTAGTTTTATTTAGGTTGTTAAATATTCATTTAAACTTCTTATTTTAGATGATAATTCAATTACAATAAAAACATTGTTTTTAATAGATTAGAAGATCCAAGTTGTTAATTTGAATTAAAAAAATTATTTAATGTAAAACTATTATTTAAACCTCTATTAAAGAAGTAAGTTATTTTTTGATAAGTCAAAGAAATCACATTTTTAAAGCTACAAAACTAAATTTTCTTATGCAATTTATATGTGGTTAATGATTTTAGATGTACAATCATATAGAACCATGAGATTGTTTGATAGCAATAATATTGAAGATTCAAAAGAAGAGTACCAATATTTTATGTAAGAATTTGATTCAGAATTCTGCAACTGATCTTTAAAAATATATGCAACCATCATTTGGAGCTATTTACGATCTGTTATTTGAAATAAAACCTAGTAACTAAGGAAAATGTTGATAAAATTTTGCAAAGTAATTTACTTCTTAAGAATAAGTTTTCATAAATTCTTATTTTTAATTATAAATAGAACAATAACTTCAAGATGAAAAAATATGAAAAAAATATTAAAAATATTAAAATACTTTACAAGAATTCAGAAAACGTACAACATAATTACATAGATATTTTGTTTAATATAGACAATATTGAATTACATACAGAACTACAAAAATGTGTGATTTACCAATCTTAGGTATAAATTATTGGACATATAATTGAAATCTAACATCTGTTAATGACTTCATTAAAAAAAAGGGGTTGTTACAATATTACATACTTTATGTACGGCATGTGATCTGTTATATTTTTTTTTCTAATTTTGATTATTTCTTTATGGCACTTCTTAAGATTTTTTAAAAACGTGTTTTCATTAAGCATTTCAAAAAAATATGATATTTTAGTTTTAATTTATTATCTATTGTGTTTCAAATAGAAAAATAATGAGTTTCATGAAATGCAAAAATAAAACAAGAGTTTCTGGTGCAAAGAAGAAAATCGATGTCATTTGAATAATAATATTTCATCTCTTTAAGTTTCTGTGTATTTTAACTATGCGGAAACCTTAGAATTTTTGCAGTTATCTTTTCTTAATTATGTATGTATGTATATATATATATATATATATATATATATATAAGTTCATAATTTTTCTACAACTATTTCAATAATAAATAAAAATTTCAAGATATGTACATATTTTTATAAATGAGGTTTTATATGTTTTAATTATCATCATATTTCTTAATATAACCAATACTAATTCACTACATTAGTAATTAAACATTAAACATATATTTTTAAATTAAAGAAAACCACTTAAAATATATATATAATCGAAATTTTGATGATATTAAATAAAAATGATTGACAAAGAATTTTTGTAAGTCATGTAATCTATAAAATAACTAAGTTTATAATTCTTCTAATTATTACATGGATTGCTATAATTCATTTAAATTTTAAAGTATTTTTTTGTAATGTTAAAATTTAGGTTATTTTTTATTTTGGGTATTAAAAAAATTAAAAGTAAAGATTTGTATTATTATTAAACAAAGATGACATAATGTTTTATGAATAATCTTCATTGTTATCATATTTTGCCCAATAACAGTATATTTGATTGAGATTCTCAATTGTTGTTTGGATTTTCAAATTGATCCTTGCAAGTATTAAAATTGACATAATTTTGAAGAAATATTTGAGTTGTTCCAGACAATAAATAAATAAAAAATAAGAATCCAATTTATTAACGTTAGGAATGGAATTATAGATTAGAAAAAAATAATGCAATTAATACATTATTTTCCAAATTTGTTTTGCTAAACACTACAAAATTTATATGGTAATACAAAGTTACTTTCTGGAACTATTGGTGGTAATATATATATATATATATATATATATATACTCTTTAGAGCTATGCTTTAATCTTCAAAAGAGTGATAACATGTTAAAATCTTACAAATGAAATGAACAATGGGATTTTTGATATTTTGTTATAATTATCTTGTAATTTATATGAAAAAATCCAAATATAAGTTGTTGCTTTAATTTCAAACTAAGTTTTAAGATACATTTCTTTTAAGATTTTATTTATTTATTTATTTTGGTTTATGTATAAAAATATTGTAATAATAAAACAAAATATAATCTAAATATAATTCATCAATGAATATGTAAAATATTCAAATTTAGTCATGTGGAAGCAAACTCAAGAGATTTCTTTACTTAGGAGAGAAGGTGAGAGGTCATGACATTCAAAACTTGTGATTGATTGAAATTAAGCAGTCTCAATTCTTAATTGAAATTAAATTTATTGTATAAAAATTAGTACATAAGCCATGAAAAGAAAAGATAAGGTAGATTGCATATTTTTACTTAATAGCAAAAATAATATTCTCAATAGAATTTGAAGTAGGCACACCTCAAAGACATACTTCTAACAAAAAAAATGTATTCTGTATTTGTATTATTTGTTGAAATTATTAGAATTAAGATTTTAATCGTCATATTCAAAAATATAATATAATACATAATTTAGTCTATTAATTGGTCTATTCTTAATCTATATTATTTCTAAAGGACAAGACATCTCAACTGAAATTTATCTTTGCAAACTAGAAGACTTTCATAAAGCTATGACACAATGGACTTTCAAAGTAGGCTTCTAAATCTAAGGGGGTTTCAATAAGAACTTCTAAAGACCTCTCTTTGTTTCAGGTGATTTTGTAATAGACTAGAAGTTAAAAAAGACATGAAAACATAAACATTAAGTGATTTTACTTTAAGTGAACAACACAATGATGCCAAGAATCTTTATAAGATAATCTTTTAAATGTTTTTGGTAAACTTTTAAGTAAATTTAGTAATGAATTTAAGAATAACAGAAGATGTAGTAAATGATTAACTATTCAATAAATAAATAAATACCTTTTCCAACACATCTTGGGGTTTTACCCACCAACATTACGATTGATAAAACATGACATAGTCACTTTTAGAGACTTTCACAACACAATCGATTTGAAGACTTTCATGGATCATTTATTTTTTCCAAATAAATCTTTTCAAGACTTTCAAATGATTCTTGAATTTGAAAGCACATAACGGAGAGTTGGTGAAGTTATTAAAACCATCATTTGACCAGAAAAAAAACTTCTACTCTCTCCCTGTATTAACCTATAAATATAACTATATATGTTTATATAACCTAACGCACTGGTTTGAATCAACTATAATTCTGAGTAAGTCTTCAGTATACACACTGTTGAACTATCGACAAAAAAGAATGATTCTGACAACTAGCCAAGGAAAGACCATTTTACAGAATGTGGAAAAAAAGAAGAGAAAAGAGGGATGTGGGGTTCACAGTGGTCTTCTCAAAAAGCTCAATCTGACAGCAAGTGCTACCAATACAACACACAAGAGGTAGACAGCAATCAGGTGCCTGGGACTATGAGCCCTTTCTGGAGCAAGATGTTCAGTTTCCTGCTGCGGTGACGCCATCGCCAGCTTCCCACTTCTCCTCCTTCGAGGCTTCTGCTTCGGTTTCTGAACTTGTGTATCACACACCGGCACAATCTGCACAACATGGCAATACCAACAGAAGATCAGATCATGTGAGATCCAGCGCTGTTACTGATGTCAACTCTGCTCTGATACCAGCTTCTGCTGTAAGCCCTGTCCCCCTCCGAACTTGAGACCATCCTACCGACACCTGATCTAGAAACTGTGTTTGCGGAGGTTTTGGGTGATGGGAACAACAAACCTCGTCGGTGATGTGGACTTTGCGAGGGTTGGATTGGGAGAGGAGTTGTACCTCCTTCCGCAGTGAAGCGTTCTCTGATTCTGCTTTCGTCAACTTCTGCTTCAGATCGTTGATGTGGTGGCTGAGTTCGGTGACCTTCGCCTGCATAAGAGTACACCAGCTTAGGTGCTTGAAAGGAGGATAACTTTCTCGGTTCAGAGCAGTTTTGAAATGTACTAGACCGGATGCACAACGCTGACTGTGGGGTTCTGAACGAGGTACTCATGCAATACATGGCTTAGATACCTGGTCGAGAAGATTTTTCCTTTGGGTGCATGCTTCCTTCTCAGCTGCTGCTAGCTTTCTCTGCACCTTCATTAGCTCTAAATTCTGCTCAAAAATTGAGACGTGAAAGTGTCATACCTCTGACGTGAATTTCAAGTACGATAAAAACCAGTCCACTTCGCAGCATTGTTTTTTCTCACTGAAAGGTAGAAATCCATATGTTGAAAAGTATACATTATATATATATATATATATATATATATATATATATAAACACACACACATGCATCACTCCTACCTGCTCGTGTTTTCTCGTTTCTGCGTCCTGTAAGCTAAGCATCAACTGCTCGAGGCGTGCTTGTAAAGAAGGTACTTCTGATGCTTGCGCTCTTTGTAGCTGTGTCACTCGTGCTCTTAAAGAGTGCAGCTCTGTGACTTGTGCTCGGAGGGACTGCAATTCTCCATCAAGAGATACTTCTAGAAATGACTTCTTTGACTCCAAGGCTGGTTTTTCTGGGGGTTTTTGTAAGTCTTCAACTCGTGACTTCAATTCCTCCACCGCGTTCTTTAAACTGGTATTTCTGTTGACTAGATCCAGCATCTGTTCCAGTGAAGAAACGAACATTAGATATACGCAATTTATGAACATGTTGAGATCCCACAGTTTTGAAGTGCAAAGGATATGTAATTGAGATCTCAACGATAAGTTTTAAAATGCAGAAGTTGACCTGAAAATTCAAAGAATTTCGCTCGAGGGACAAAAGCTTTTTGCATAATTGAAGAACTTCAGACCCATCACACAACTGCGCGTCCCTAAACGCGAGGTGCAGTCCCTCCACCTCCTCCTGCAGGATTTCCATGCCTTCCTTCCCTGGGGAAGTAGCCGAAGGCACTCGTTGTTCTACGTCGGAACACGCTTCCCTCAACCCATGCAGAGACCCGGCATGTTCTCTGAGCACAGACGCAGCTTCCTCAGCCCACAAACGCTGCTTCTCATTGCTCGTTTTCATTTGCATGTTCTGTTCTTGCAACTCTGCAATCTGAGATTGCAATGCTTGCATTCGAACATTGTGATCTACGACTAGTGAGGAGGCTTCATCCTTCAATCTGGAAGCTAACTGCTCATGAGCAGCACTTACCTCTTCCAGTGATTTTATCTCCTTCTGAATGTTTTGTTCCCTTCTTCTTGAGTCTTGCAATTCCAAACTAAGCTCACCCAACATACCCTCCAGATCTCGTATCTGTGTCTTCAGATGGGGACACAACTCACAGACACTTGAAGCCTCAAGTTTAGTTTGAAGATCTATGATCTGAGCCTCCAGAAGCACATTTTGACTCTCTACGTCCCTCAACCTGTCACGGTCTAGCGTCAACTTCTGTTGCTCGGAAGTGCGAACAGCCATCTCCTCTCGGATAACGATCAACTCTTGTTCTAGAAAATCGTTCTTTTTCTCCAGATTACATGTATAATCAGCATAAGATAGCTTCAAACCTTCGTAAAAGGCAGCCCTCTCTTCCAAGACCTTTACTTCTCGTTTCATCATGTCCTCCTTTTCTCTTGAGGTCATTATCTCCTGTTCAAGCTGGCTCGCTTTCGCTTCCAGGTCCTTCACATGCTCTTGCAACTGTGACTTGCTCGCCTCAGCCTCACAAGTATACAATATATGAGCAGTTTGTAGCTTTGTGAACTCCTTCATCAAAAGCTTCGACTGCTTCACATGAGCAACTACGTTTTCTCCCACAAATTTCATTTCGTCGTCACTGCGGTCGCTCCTTCCATGTAGCATGTCCAGCTCGCGATCTATGCTGGGGGCGTGACCATCCATCGATTCTCCGGGCAACATGTGCAAGGCATCAATAAGATGGCTTGAGGTGGCCTCGTGCACCACGGTCTTCTCTTCGATGGATCTCAAATCATCCTCTATCTTCTTTTCCCTGGCTCTGTACATTTCCAACTCCTGCTCAAGAGAGTCTGCCTTATCTCGATACATACTCAGAGTCCTTTCAAGCTCTATAAGTTTACTATTAGACTTGCGCAGGTTGCTTTCATAGGAAGAGAGCTCTCTATTGACTCGTTGCAGTTGAGAATTCAAGTCAGAAATCTCTGACTCGAGTTCTTGGTTGTTAAGAGAAGCTGCCTCCATGCATTTTTCTAGATTGACAGCCTTCTCCTCTGCAACCTTGACACTCGTTTCAAGCTGAAAGATCATGCTTCGATATTGCTCAGCTTCATCATGTGCCTTCTTAAAGTTCTTGACAAGCTGATCTTCTGTTTCAAGGAAGAGAACCTTCTCGTATTCCACTTTCTTCTGCGCCTCATCGTTTCTCTTCGACTTCTCTTCCAGAGCAGCAATCTGCTACCCACCCAGGTGTGAAGAGATTAGAACAAAGTCAGGATAAATAAAAACATAGATGGTGTAGAAAAAAGAAGACCCACTGTAGACACATTAAACTGGGTTTAGGTGAATGCAAAGACAGAGTGAAGAGACATTACTTTCTGCAGAATGTTTCTATGATGCTTAAGGTACAATCCAGAAGTTTTGCAGAGACAGAATGTAAAGCACTCTTGAACGAAGACTGAGTAGATCTGCACTCACCATTGGAAGGACAAAAAAACTCCATTACTGCAAGATGCTGCCATCCTAACAAAGAAATGGAAGCATGGAGTGCAGGAACATACCCAACAATACGACGCCGAGCACTCGAGAAAGCAAAACTGGACAGACAGACCCAAGAGACAAAGCATTAGCATGACTTGATAATTGATCAATACCTGGATCTGTCCAGCCGTGAGCAACTCCTCCAGTTCTTTCACCTTCTCTAGTAACGCATTAGCATCATCAAACTTTTCAAACAAATTTGCTTCAATCACTTTCACCTGCAATGTCGTGAATTTTCAAAGCAAAATGAGCCTAACAATGAGCACCTCAACAGTTGCAATTAGAAACCTCGCAGTACATTCTGTAAGACGTTCGATTAAGACAGAGGTGATCCTCACACTTAAGACTAAAGCTCGACGTCGCGCCAATTACCTGTCTATCACATGTGTTCTGTTCTGCAGTATTGTACATCTCCTCCAGCTTCTTGGCATGAGCGATTGCATTTCTTATTTCCACCTCTTTCTCCTGCAATTTGTTCTGAAGATCTTCAGGCGCTTCCTGCTCCACGACTATGTACTCATCGTCTGACTGTGTTTTAGGGCTCTCACGGTCTGGAGAGCTCGGAGATACGGGATACGACATATCAACATCGGTTCTCATCGACTTCTCCGATAAAACTTCCATGTGGTCTTCAAACACTCGAGTTTGCTGCGACATAGCCAAACAATGGGTTGATTGAATATCCTCTAATCCATCAAGGAAAAAAGAAGGAAAAAGGGAGGGGAGAGGTCTCGAAACAATGTACTTACCTCGACTGTTGGAAGCTGTGCACATTGTAACTCCAATACGGCTACGCGGTTGGCGCTCTCCGCCAAATCGGACTTGGCTTGACGCACTTCGTCTCGTGCTTTTGCAAGTTCCTCCACCAGAGCTTCAGAAGACGAAGACATCATCACCGTCAATTCGCGAGAAGCCACATCAAGTTATCCTTATCCGTAAACCTGCACAAGCACTTCCAGCTTAAGATTCTCATTTCTCCTCTATACTCCGTGCAACACTCAGAAAATCACATCGACAAACTCACAGTAATACTCCAATGCACTCCCCATGTCCCCAAGACATTCTAATTGTGTTAAAACTGACCCCCGAATGAGCAAATACGAGCTCCAGATGGATTACCACGAGGACTGCGGCTACGACTGAGAACATTTTGTCGATCACGCTCATCTTGTCTCGTGGCTCATGCCTGTAAAGAACGCCCCGCAAAAATAGAGTACTACGCGGATCTAATGGTGTTCGAACCACAGAAGCTGTTGCTATTACCAGACCATACAATAGACGACTCGAATGCTGAACAGTGAAACACGACCCTGGGTTGTAATGCCCTAAACTTCCGGAGGATCGGAACGCAAAACAATGCGATATCGCAAACGAGGATCAGGAATGTGGCAGGAGCATCTCCAGATTCATTTTCAGCGAAGCTGCAGCTTCGAAGGGACGAAACCAGTCACCTCTAGGCCAAATCCACACACTATCGATGTTCCTGCGAGCATGAAAAGGAAGGAATTCTAAACCAAAAGTGGCGTTACTACGAATCGAACTAGTTTCGACAACCGAATTGTCGAAACGAGTCAAACAAGGATGGATATTTTATACACTGCACACTATGCGGTGAGCGCAAGCGAGGGATCACAAATCGTCAAGGCTTGCGCGCCGACATCTTCGGAGGTACACACGACCTACAATGCGACATCCTTGTGGGATCAATACGAGCGATCGCTCTCTAAAGCTACACACGTGACCAACCATAGCAAACGCACAATGAACGCCAATAGAGACGAGCGAGAGAAACCTCCGAGCTCGACAAGACCGCATTCAAACTGCGCAACACCGGGACGAAAACTAAACAGAGAGAGAGAGAGGAAACAGAACAGAAGTACCTTCGTAGAGATGGGCGGATCCAGCGCCTCGGACTCCGGGACCGCGTGATCGGCCAAAGCAGGAGGGCAAATCCCAAACGGGAGACATCCACTTTACTGCTGTATTGATCTCTTCGAAGGGACTCACAACATGAGCAGCAGCCCCAACACAAGCTGCGCAAATCAGATTCTACGCTCCATACGATTGAATGGGGAAACTGTTAAACATGTAATCGCAGAGATCGAAGCACTGCTTGTCAGTCTCTCTCGCAGACCAGTGCAACCATCGGAGCTGCTGCGCAGCAATGTGGCCACCAGTCGCGGGCGATCCCGGGAAAGGGATCTCTCGCCCCGCAGCTCAAAAACCACCATCCCCAACAATCGGAGGAAGACCACGACGCCGACGACGACGACGACAAACGAATGAATAAACGAACGAATGACCCACTGCAACCATCATCCGTTCAACGTCCGTCGCTATGATCCCCACCGAAGCCATTTCGTCGGCTCCCAGCAGGTTTCGTTGTTCTATTTCGCGTAAACGCCGGAACAGAAGCCGAGGCGTGATGGCCGCAACAAAGCCCGTGACTGCTGACCTGGACAAGCCCATGCGCTGACGTAACGGAGACTCACTGGACAGCAAATCTGCCACGTAGGATAAAGAGGGATTCTAGTGTGAATGCGACTCTGGATGTGGTGTAGATGGATGAATGCATGAATACTAGCCCTTGAGGAGGAAGGAAATGACTGCAAGTAGGGTATATTAATAGTTAATTAATTAAGCCCATTGGATTTGGACTTATTAGGTGGAGGTGTTTGTTAATGGGTGGATTCAATGACCTTTCCTTTTTAAGAACTCAGTGGAGACTATAGCATGGGCGAGGATGAGCCATCCTTTTCTATCCATCCATTCGTCTCTCTATTCATCTATCTATAAACGCCATCCACACCCCTACATTGGTAAAGTCGAATCAAAAAGGTAATGATTCCATTAGTATGTGTTTCCTATAAAAGATAAACTTATGTACGAATGTATTTTGAAGTAAAATTCAAACCAAATATCTTAAAATTTAAATGATAATGAATAAATAAAACAATGACAACAGCATGTCAAAAACTTGGAATCCATTATCTAAGTAAAGTTTTTATAACAACTTTATGCATTATAAGTCAAATTAACTAAAACTGAAGAATAAGGAATAAAACAAATCTGATACATAAATACATATGTACCATACAAAGTACATGTTTGTGATTTTGAAGCAACAACAAGAAACTTTGTGTCAATGTGATGAAGATGTTGTACTTTAAATTTCATTCCATAAGAAAAGTATCTTAGATAAGACATTCTAATTAATGTTTGTGTAATGTAATCTTAAACCAACATAAACATTCTGGAACTGGATAGAAGTAAATGTTATATACTCATGATACTTAAAAGCCAACAACCTTTGAAAATATATAAGGTATTTTAAAAGTTAAGTTAAGTGTGCACTTCATTAATTAAAATCTTCTTCATAAATCACAATATCTGTTTATTTCTATTTAAAATCTTGTTTATTAATTCACTCAAATGCAAAATTTTAAAGATTTACTATTCAAATAAAGTGTTAGCAATTTACATTTTCTTTTGCACGAAATTATTAAGTAAAAAAATCATAAATGGCTAGTTTAGGAATTTTGAATATGATAATAATGATGAACTATACACAATTTTAAATTTCAAATCATTATATTTTATTAGTTTTAGATACACATAATTTATAAGATGAAAGTTTGTTCTTATAAAGTGTAATACAAAAGAAGTAGTTGCTAATTATTTTTTTTTATCATTTTTGCATTAATTTTGTTTCATATTACAAAAAAGCAATGAATAGAATGTGATTGTAATGTATTTTTTTAAAGATAGCATTGCAATGAATCATAATATTTATATTAAATATAATATTAGGATGTTTTATAGATAGTAATTATCCATAGAATAAAATATTAAAATATACTACTACAAATCATTTATCAAAATTATTTATCAAAATTATCAATTTTAATGTATATAATATTCTACTTTTAGATATGTAATGTTCTTTTAAACAAATTTAATATATATACATACACAAGACTTGTTATTTGAAGTTCTTGAACTAACAACTTGTATTTTTTAAATAAAAATTTAGTAAAAAAATTTATCTATTATTCATTATATTCATGACATTGTGTTAGACACAATTTTATCACAAATGAATTCAAGTAGTCTATTTTTATTTTTATTTTTATTTTTTAAATTTGTTTTATATTTTTAGTATTGCAACGTTTGATGGTATAAATAATAGCCTAATTCCTTGAGATAGGTTAATTAGGACCTAGGTGATAAGAGTTAGAAAATTAGAAAAGTAACTTAGTTAGTTTTAATAATTTAGAGGTTGTTAGTCACTATTATGAAGGTTGACTAAAAGCCTATGAGTTCACCTACAATCATTTCAAATGATTTAGAGTGAATTAGAATTATAATTTTCTAAAAAAACTAGTGAAGTTCAGCAATGACAGTTTTGAGATTTCCTCCACATTCAACAAATTCAAGTGGCATAGTGGTTCTTTTAATTAATAGAGGCCTTTTTAATGCAATGGTGGCATCAAATTCACCCATGGAGTGAAGAAAACTAGATCAGCACCCTCTCCTTCAAAATACAAGTGGAGCAATGAAATTTTCATTTTGAAGAATTTTTGCAAGAATTGCCAAGATCCTTGTAGGTAAAAACTTTCATAAAAATTACAATTAAGCATGGATTGAGGCATGTAAGTAGTCGAACTCAGCATAAAAAGGTGTTTTGAACACTATAGTGAAGTTAGATTTACCAAAAAGTGCTTTCTTGATTACTTACAAGAGCCATCAGCCTTGGTAACGAAATTGGCTCTTCGGGGAATGAAGGCCTTAGATGATTGATTGGGGGAAATCCAAGGTTCTTGAAATCCCTTAACCGCTTAAATATTCCAAGGATTCAAGAATCTTGGATTTCTCCCAATCAATCATTCAATTTTTTGAGTTTTTATTTGAAATGTTTTTGCGATTGTAGCTTTTGATGTTAGCTTTCCAACAAGATAAGGATTGCTTGATTCGGAATGAGGACAAAATTTTGGTAAATTTTTTAAAGTGCAAGGATTGGCTGCCTTGGTAGTTTAGATCATCCACTTTTGAAAAGCCATTTCTTAGTGCTTCCTAATTAGATTATTGTGAAATTTTAAGAGTAAGTGCATCTTCAAGCTAAGCTTCTAATGGCCTAAACTTCTTTGAATTTAAAGACAAATTGAATTTTTGGTTAATTTTCAAATAAAAAGAAGTTGCCTACCATTGCAATCTTAGTCACTCAACTTTGAAGGAGCATTTTTCGTGGATTAGGTATTGGATTAAATTTAAAATTATTGAAGCAAGAGCGCCTTCAAGTTAATTTTGTAATAAACTAAAAATAATTCAATTTCAAGTTAATCACAAATTATGGAAAATTTTAGAGTACAAAGAGTTTGTTGCCTTCAATTCTTCGGCATTATCAAGGCACCTTTGCTTTTATCTCTCTTTAGTTCTACTTTTACTTTTATTTTTACAACAATTCATAACTTTCATATTTCAACTTTGAGATTTTAATTTTTTACTTTCAATCTTTAATCTTTTCTCTTTTACATTTAACTTTAATTTTTAATTTTTACTTTTAATCTTTAATTTTTAATTTTTAATTTTTACTTTTAATTCAATATTTAAGATTTTTTACTTTTACTATGGATTAATGGTAATAATTTGATCAATTAATTTTATCACTAATTATGTAAAGGATAATAATTTATAAGTTTTTAATTAATTATTTATTTAATAATTAATTAATTAATTAATTAATAATTAATTAATTATTTACTCTAATTAATTATAATTTTTAATCACATATAAATTAGTAATTAAGGATTATATAAATGATCTTGAACAAACCATTGAGATTTAAGTAGAAATCATGCAAATAGCCTTAAAGACCATAGTAATTTCATTATTATTATTATTATTTTATTATTATTAATATTGGTAACTATTGCTTGGAAGACTTAAAGTTAATTGAATTGCTAACACTAAGTTTTAAATCAACTTGGCAAGTAGACAATTGGGAGTTCTTCCATTCCACCTCTTGAACTTGTCATGTGGCATCAATTTCATTGAGTGGTGAAATTTGGGCTCAAATATTTATAGCCTAACTTTCAATGAAAATAGTGCAAATATACCATTGGAGATGATGGTTTTCACTAAGTGTAAACATCAAAGAAATTATCTATTTTTAAAAAATATTATCCATCCTCTAAAATAAAAAAATAATTTTGAAGACGTCAAAACATTTTTTTTCTAAAATTTTAGCATCGAACTAACCAAAGAATATAAATCATTTTTTTGGTGTATTATTTTATTTATATATATTATTGTATTTTTAATAAACTATAGAAACATAAACAACATGTTCTTTAGATTCATGATGCAAATTCATTTGGTGTGATCCAACAAATGAAAAGTACCAAAAACAAAAGTAAAACATAATAGTATAAAATAAGGACAAGTTGACATATATAATAAGTTTGTAGGACATTAATTAGAAATTTTTACATTTCTAGAAATCTACAAAAAAATCAAATGGATGAATATATTATGTTCAAATTTCTCTTTAGCCAAAAGAATATAGAGTTGTATTATAAGGCTTACAAATAAGCTATGCTAATGTAGTTAATATGGAATAGAGACATAGGACTAAATGTATAAATGGTGAAAAATAAATCAAAGATATCATCTCTTTGCTCTTTATATATACCATATAAATAAGAGATACTTCTATATAATTTTTAGAATGCTTGCATACTTATCAAATTTACAATTGAGTTGTCTTTGTTTTTAATGAAATAGTCACAAGTTTTACTTATTAAAAGACTACATAAATAATTTTAATCAAAACTATGTATTATCATGCATAAATTTCTATTCGAATTTTAAAAACTTTGTCTTATTTGGAATTTATATAAAAAAATATTCTAATAGACCACTTGGATTAAAAACAAATATATTTATATTTGAAAATTTATGTATCAAAGCACGACTAAATATAATATAAAATAACATACAATAAAATGAATAAATAATAACATAAGAAAAAAAATAAATTATAAGGTAATATAAATTATAAATAACCAAAAAAAAATTTTATAGGTCTCAAAAGTGGTATGTAATTTTGTTAGAATTCAAAAGTTCCTCATGTCTTTCTTGTTCATAAGTTTTGAGTCCTTGTTCTATTTTCTAGGACCTAAACTTCAGAATTATATTTTGTATTAAAT